TTAAATTAAATTAAATTAAATTAAATTAAATTAAATTAAATTAAATTAAATTAAATTTAATTAAATTAAATTAAATTAAATTGAATTGAATTGAATTAAAATTAAATTAAATTTAATTAAATTTAATTTAAAAAATGACATTACAAGAGATTTTGGCTAGAAATTGTGTTTAAATCAAAATAATGTCACAATGTGAATTACACAAAATATAATATCTTATTTTAAATTAAATTAAATTAAATTAAATTAAATTAAATTAAATTAAATTAAATTAAATTAAATTAAATTAAATTAAATTAAATTAAATTAAATTAAATTAAATTAAATTAAATTAAATTAAATTAAATTAAATTAAATTAAATTAAATTAAATTAAATTAAATTAAATTAAATTAAATTAAATTAAATTGAATTGAATTGAATTGAATTGAATTAAAATTAAATTAAATTAAATTTAATTTAATTTAAAAAATGACATTACAAGAGATTTTGGCTAGAAATTGTGTTTAAATCAAAATAATGTCACAATGTGAATTACACAAAATATAATATCTTATTTTGAGTTGAAATGTCACCCAGACATGTTTTCATCAGGATAAAAGCGATTGCTAAATGAATAAATAAATGTGGACATGAGAACATGCTGATAGCTGCATTGAGAGCACATAAACGAACACCTGCGGTATGAAACGAGCCAAAAAACTCCATCCTTATCAGTGCCATTTCATTCCCGCTCAATGATAGTATTTCATATCTCTGCGGGGCGATGCAGTGCTCCAGTGTCACTAATATCTTTTTACTTTGACTAGCAGAGTGAAGAATAACAGCTGTGAACATCTAGATAGCAGAAATTATAAAAGCTTATGGAATTATGTAACTGGAACGTCATTGCGACCCGGGATTACAACAAACCCGCTCACATGCCAAACCTCAGAGACCACCGGTCCGGTCTGATCAGATTCATATTCGCTCTGTGATTTGTGACTGTTGTGGACTTAAATCCGTCATAACAGCTTATGTCTGGATACACAGATGTTTATGGCACAGTTCCTGCGAAGATGGTTTTAGTGGTGTTAAATGTCTTATCCAGTGCCATTTCAAAGCAAATATTTTCTTTTCCTTATTTACACTTGGTATTACCATAATTATGCGGATGAGTGATGGATTAGTCCTAAACCAGTAGGTCTTGGCTCGAACATCAATCACAGTTTAGAATAAGTAAAAATAGTCGTTTATCCTCCTTATATGCACGACAATTACCTGTCACAGCTGATATTTTAAGAGTAAGTGGTGATGACATGTGTAAAGTGTCTTTCCCTCCCTCCCTCTCTTTCTTTCTCTAAGGCGATTGGTCGATACCGAGGATGAGCTCAGCGATATCCAATCAGATTCCGTGCCGTCAGAGGTCCGTGATTGGCTGGCCTCCACCTTCACGCGGCAGATGGGCCTGATGCTACGACGGACCGAAGAGAAGCCGCGATTTCGCAGCATCGTACACGCAGTGCAGGCTGGGATATTCGTGGAGAGGTGGGGTTAAACGCAAAGCAGTATGCTAAAAACTCTTTTTTCATGTCAAAATGTAGTTTTCTTTTACCCTTACAATTTAAACAGGCAATTATACCTTTAAAATTTTCTTTTTTTTAAATTTCTCTTTTCATGTGAAATAAGTATGTTATACAGTAATGTCAAACTCAAGGATCAGAGAACATATAACAGTGTTATATTAATGTTATTTATATATTATTATAATATTTATTAATATATTGATGTCGATTTTGAATGTATAATTAGCTTTTTATTTTTATATTTTTATTTTTCATTTTTAATGTAGTTCAAGTTTTAGTGATTTTTTGATTTGTGCTTTTGTTTTTTTCTTTAATTTTGTTTTTAGTTATTAAATTATATATATATATATATATATATATATATATATATATATATATATATATATATATATATATATATTTTTTCT